AATTGGGGTGGTTCCCTCTCGGTGTCTCTTCTCGAGGCTGAACAGCCCCAGCTGCCTCGGCCTTTCCTCATAAGGGAGATGCTCCAGTCCCTTCAGCACCTCCACAGCCTCCTCTGGACCTGCTCCAGGAGCTCCATGTCCCTCCTGTCCTCAGGACACAGCACTGCAGATGTGCCTCCCCAGGGCTGAGCAGAGGGACAGAATCACTTCCCTAATCTGCTGGGAAGGCTCTTCCCAATGCTCCAGGATCCCAGTGGCCTTCTAAGTTCTCAGGACACACTGCTGGTCCAGGACAGCAGGACAGCAGGTCCTGTGGCCGTGCTGCCCCCCAACAGTGCCCCAGTATGGCAGCAGCAGACACGGAGTCATCCAAAGGCAACATTTAATGGCATCACACACGCCTGGCACACGCAGCCCCAGCAGCATCGGGGTACCGGTGATGGGGTCCTGCCCCGTCAGGCGGCTCCCGGCTGGGGCTGCCGGTAGTGGTACAGCCGGACGGTGCCATCACGCTGCCCGGCCAGCAGCCCGGCCCCGGCCGTGGCCCAGCGTGCCAGGGCCCAGCGCCCCGCGGGGCCCGGGGGCAGCAGTGCCGTGCAGCGGCCCCGCAGCAGGTCCCACACGGCCACGGCACCCGACGTCAGCACCGCCGCTCCCGCCGTGTCCCACACGTCACCCTCCAGGTACCTGCAGGGACAAGGGCAGTCAGCACATGGCAGGAGGTCTGCAAAAACACCACGCAGTGCAGGGTTTGTTCCCTTAGCTTGGGGTTCAGGTACAGATTATTGCCCAACTGCAGTCAGGCTACAGTCCGGGCTGTGCCTCCAGCACAGCCGAGAAAGGAGGAGGTCAAGAAAATGCTCCTTGAGACTCAGAACATACTTGAAGAAGATGGACTCTTAAAAAAAGGTACTCTTAAAAACAACTCTGTAAAGAAAGCCCCATCCCTGTAAGTGTTCAAGGCCAGGCTGGACAGGGCTTGGAGCAACCTGGTCTAGTGGAAGGTGTCCCTGCCCACGGCAGGGGGTGGAACTGGACGATCTTTAAGGTCCCTTCCAACCCAAACCATTTTGTGATTCCATAACTGTTCAGTAAGCAAGACCTTGATCCACTGCTCCTCCCACACATCCATCACATTTCCTGTGCAAGGAACACTGCAAGACTGAGCCTTGAAGCTGAGGCTGAACCTGCTGACGCTTCAAAACACAGGGCACAGGAAGGAAAAGGCCATCTGCCTGCAGCACTGCTCCACACAAACCAACCTGGCCGGGGGCTCTCCAGCAGCCAAGAGTGCCACTGCTGCAGGCAGGAGCACGGGATTGCCTGAGGAGCCCAGGGACACAGGCCCCCAGCCCCAGTGCTGGGGCGAGGGTCAGGGCACAGCAGGAAGCGTCCCACCCACACCCCCAGCCCTGCCCGCCGCGCACCGGACACGCGGCAGCGCCGGATGCAGCCCCTTATCGCTGGGGGGATGGCAACGGGATCCCTGCCAGCGCTGCTCCACTCTCCGGGCCCTCCCACAGCCCCTGGAAGGAGCCAGAACAGCCCCCAGCCCCCAGCACTTGCCTCCCTGCAGGGCTCGGTGGGAGGGAGGAGAACATCACCCCCCGGCTCCTGCCTGTCCTGGGGTTGAAGGCCACCACGCGGAACGCTGGGTTTCCACAGGATTCGCTCTCTTTGGCATGTGGATGGCTTAAAACAACAAACAGAAGGCCCTGATAGAGAGAGGGAAAATACATCACTAAAAACAACAGCAGGAAGGGAAAAACGCAAAGAATTTTCCAAAAATTAACAGCTGCAGTCTCTCTCTAATCGCAGCCCCATGGACAGTGATACATTATTTTTACTGAAGAAAACAGAAATGGTTTACTTTCCTTATCAAATTAGATAAAAACCGAAGCAGCAGCTGGCTGATAAGGGCTGATGCAACACAGCAGAGTGACAGCTCAGTGACCCAATGGATTTATTCATTTATCTTCAATCCTCAAGAAACCTCAATCCTTTGCGTCCCCAGCCCAGTCAGTGCAGCCCAAGCATGAACTGAATTTCATGTACGTACAGAGTCGGAATATGCTCGATGGCAGATGGAAGCTGGGTAGGAATAACCAACGTGCATCTTCCTCAGGAGCTGGCCCGTTTTCAGGTTCCTGCAGTTGGTGAAAACAAACTCTGATACATTTTCATCCTCTAATCACAGTTACACCACTATGCAAGATGGACATGGGTTTGGTTCCATGTCAACCAAACAAGCCAAGAGGCCACAGGGAGGGTGTAATGAGAATGATGCAAAAGCAATGGAATTACAGCAGCACAGTTCATTCCCTGTCCATGAGACTGCGGGGTCACACTGCAGGCCCTCTGACAACCACCATTTCACAGGTGGCTCAGCAGCCAGCCAGCACCCCTGCACAGCCCTACAGCTCTCTGCTACAGCCCCCACCCCCCTAAACCGTGTAATGGCAAGGAAACACCGACCACACCACGATGCTGTTGGCTGCAGTGGTGCCCACCAAGGCCTCTCTCATCCCTTCTACTTCAGCAAAGGCTGTAACAGTTTCTTCAGGGGGCATCAGGGTCTGCCTGTCCTTGCTCCTGAAGGGAGATCAGCACAAAGAAAAGCAGTTGAAATAACAAGTGCCTGTTCTGTGCTCAGCACCACTCCAGGAAGAACAGGAACCCACTTGTTCTACATCCAAGATGTTTCCTCACTTTTATCCCACCTGCCACACTGAGACCACCCCAAACCAGCACCCCCAAACTCACCCTCCTGCCCCTGAGAGCCACACCAACTCCACTTGCTGCTCCTGCAGGGTCCTGATGCTGCTCACTACCCTCTGGTCCTTTAGCCCAACAACTGCTTTTATATTCCCAGATTTCACTAGGGAGTGCTTGAACAAGTCAGTCTCAGAAGAATAAAGCAAGGTCCTAAATCAGGAGACAAGCACATACCATGACAGAAGGAAGCACCACTCAAACATGCCATAGCATATACAAATCAGCCCGTATTTACTCAGTCTGCCAGCTCTGGGGTGAATGAACAAGTCTTTATAGTTGATTTTTAGAAATCCCTTGCACCTTTTCCAATTGCTAAAGCAACTGAGAGAGTAACACATTAATAAAAAGATAATTTCAGACACTACAAAGGTAGTAGTGAGGAGAGCTAAGCTGCAACCAGTCAGGGGGCAAAGTGGTAGCAATAAAT